TCAAAACTGATTTCTCGCCGTTCACTATCTCCCAGCTGCTAATGGGCTCTCAACGTCCATTCCCACTGTGAGGGAAAGAGACCTAGATGACATTTTTCCACCAGTTATCCACCGTGTTCTTGCAATAGTCCTGAATTTTTCCTCAAAATCAGCAGGTGGATTGTGATGTTGCCGGTGTCTCGTAAAGTGAATACTGAAGTGTGTTCAAGTGCAGCAACGTACAAAGCAGGCAGACATACAAAAATAGTATAATGCACAGAAATGGTCAGATTACACACAACGTTCAAAAGTGTGGGGTCAGAAAGATTTTTTTTTTTAAAGAAGTCTCTTATGCTCACCAAGGCTGCGATTATTTGATAAAAATTACAATAAACACAGTAATATTGTGAAATATTATTGCATATATTTATTACTTTTTAGATTTATTCCTGTGATGGAAAAGCTGAATTTTCAGCGGTATTTGCTTCAGTCTTCAGTGTCACATGATCCTTCAGAAATCATTCTAATATGCTTATTTGATGCTTAAGAAACATTTCTTATTATCAGTATTGAAAACTGTTGTGCTGCTTAATATTTTTGTGGAAGCCATGATACTTTTTGTCAGGATTTGTTGATGAATAGAAATTTGAAAAGAACAGAAACTGAAATAGAAGTCTTTTCTAAGATTATAAATTGATTTACTGTCACTGTTGAACAATTTAGTTCGTTCTTGCTGAATAAAAGTTAGAATTTCTTTCAAAGACAAATATCTTACTGACCCCAAACTTTAGAACAGTAATGTATTTTAATACTGTTGTATAATAATGTCAATTTCATGGATAGTTATATTTATTTAGCCTGACATATATATAAAGCCATCAATATAAAGCCATTTTCCAGCTCATTCTGGCCACCCACTCAGGGAAAGATCTGAGGCAGGTTTATCAGTAATAGTTGATACTGCAATAACAGACTGGCATAGAATAGGCTAGGATATACAACATATCAGCACCATATAAATTATTTTTATTATTATTTTTTTTTATTTGGTATCGGCTGATATTGAATATTAATTATTCATGTTCCTTTCATCCATTTTTATGTTTAGATTGCCTTCATCAAACGCTCACTTAAATGTATTATTTAAAAACACTAACGATTTAAAAACCCTGCTAATCTGCAAATCTCTAAATGCATATTCATTCGTCATACTGTATATCATACAGCACTCTTGTCATTTATGAATGCAGTATGTATCTGGCAGTGAACTGTGGGTGGTATGTGGGCACACTGTCTGAGGCTCCGATTAAGATTAAATACACTCACAATCAAATCTGAGACAAAACTGATTTGAATATTTGTATAAAGCATTTCATTATACTATTTTCTAGTCATGGCATGACATTTGTGATGGTACAGTGAGTGTTGTGCACCAGTCTGAGAGTGTTTTTGTGAGTTAGACCAACAGCAGATGGTGAATGGACACATGACCCACCCTCCTCATTCAACCAGCACTGGTTCAGAGGGGAGAACAGGTGCGTCGTCTGATACAGTCCCCCCTGAAACTTGAACTTGTACTTTCATTCACCTTCTCACATTCACATGGCCTGTCTGCTGCTATGCTTCACGGCAGACTTTTCCAATTAGTCTCACTCATATAACCCTGCTGGTGTCACATGAGACTGCATCTGGGCCATTGTACTTGTGTAAAACTCAATCTGACATGAGACACTCCATTCAATCAAATTCTACTTGTAGCCAAATTATTTAAGCCCTGAATATATGGAAAAATTACATAAGCATAGTCTCAGTCAATTAGTGACCAATTCCCAAAGTAAATCCAGTTATTACTCACTTCTATGATATGCACACACACACACACACACACACACATAGTACAAGTCAAAATTTAGGGTCAGTAAGATTGTGTGTGTGTGTACAGGTTTTCAACACTGGTGGGGACTTAAACCTGAATACAGACCAACTCATGGGGACTTGTGTCACCGTGGGGACCTAAATTGAGGTCCCCATGGGTACAAAAATATATACATATATAAATCATACAGAATTAGTTTTTTTTTTTTTTTGAGATTGTAAAAATGCATAAAGTTTTCTGTGAGGGGTAGGTTTAGGTGTAGGGTTGGTGAAGGGCGATAGAAAATACTGTTTGTACAGTATAAAAACCATTACGCCTATGGGGAGTCCCTACAAGGATAGTGAACCAGACTGTGTGTGTGTGTGTGTTATTGAGCAGGATGCATTACATTCATCAAAAGTAACATTAAGGACATTTATAATGGTACAAAACATTTCTATTAAAAAAAAATGCTGTTCGTTTGAACTTTCTATTATTTAAAGAATCCTGAAAAAAAGTATCACCGTTTTTCACAAAAATATTAAGCAGCACAACTTTTTAACATTGATAATAATAAGAATTCTAATATAATAATAATAATAATATGTCATGTGACACTGAAGACTAATGACAGCTGGAAATTAATTTGCCGTCACAGGGATAAATTAAATATTAAAGTTTGGTCAGATGCATGCAAATGAAGCAGTTTGAAGGGGTAATAGTTTTTGGGTAATAGTATTATAAAACTTTTATATAATATTAGCTAGGACATCTAACCTGTTACACATGCTCACTTCCAGTTTCCAAAAACTTTCAAAGAAATTGCCATGCAAAACACAATAGAAAATCCAGATGTTCTCGTAAAAAGGAAGCGAGGGGTAAAATCAATAATAACTTATTTGTTATTAAGTTAGTTATTAATGAGTTATTAAGCCACCAGGCAGGCATTTCCCATTATATTAATATTCAACTGTGCCTCTGTTGCACTTAACCTGCTAGGGCATTTCTAAGTCATCACTACTATTTCAGACCCGCTGTTTCTTGCGCACTCCATTCTTTGTATGTAAATCTGAAACTCAAGCACAGAGTCTAGTGCGTCTCTCTCATAAGCAGCCCAGTAGATCCCTCCTCATCACACTGTGGAGATTTGGCCTGTAATACTGCTGCCATGACTCACCTACCGCAAGGAGGGAAGGAGAATTAAAGGAGGAACCCAAGCAAAACCAGGCTTTCAAGTTTGTTCTTTCCTTCACTTTCTGCTCCAGCCCTGTTGATGGGTCAACAGCGAGTTTTCGGGTGGTCAAAAGAGGGGTAAGTGGACGCAGGTATGGGGCAGTTCTGTCAGTACTACAGTACTGGGTTTGTGACTACAAGCCAAAAGCTGCTGCCTGGGGCAATCATTGTCCACAGGGAACCATTTGAAGAAAATTGCCCGTCATTTGCCCGTCATTTAGTCAGCAGAGCCTCACGACAGAGAGGCAGTTCTGTCAGTACTACAGTACTGGGTTTGTGACTACAAGCCAAAAGCTGCTGCCTGGGGCAATCATTGTCCACAGGGAACCGTTTGAAGAAAATTGCTCTGCCCGTCATTTAGTCAGCAGAGCCTCACGACAGAGAGGCAAGCACGCAGTCTATTCAAGACTGGTGTGTTTGGCCATGAATGATTGAAATGAAGAGCCTATGTTACAGGCTATGGAACACGCAGACAGATGCACAGCTTTAGGACCCAAAACACACCACAGGAGCACCAAGTCTGACATCCCAGTGTGCATACTATCCATCCTAATTAGTATGTGAGAATAGAATAAATGACCCAAAGCATAATATGCTGAAGAGAGCATGCCAGAAATCCCAGGATGGTCAACTGTAACTGATAAGATTTCTGAAGTGTGGATCTGTGCACACTTTTCATTGTCCACAACCTGATTAAAATTACTTATTTAATGTTATGTGTGTTATATTTAATCTGAAACATCATGTGGACCTTTTTAAAGATACATTTGGAAATTAACTAACTGCAAGAAAACACATGAAAGATAATGCCATGACAAGCAGATTTATTAAGTTATTTATTATTATTATTTTAGTTAAACTCAAATGACTAAAACTACAAATGAAATAATAATAAAAAAACCATACAAAAGACAAAATCACATAACAAAATTACTAAAACTAAATTAAAATGAAAATATACAAATATTTATAAATAATATTTTATTATACATAAAAAAATAAATATGATTAAATACTATAAATGTATAAATACTATAAATACTAATCTTTCCCATAGGGTAGGATTGAGTAGTGAAACTGAAATGTGAGGATATGAGCATGTTACTTGTTAAATGATTGACAGGCTGGTTTATAGTGACAGGATGCACATAACTATACAGTACGACAAAAATGTCCCATGGTTTTAAGACGCAATTGTATGATGTGGTAACATGTCCCAAAGCTTGCCTACCCTTCTGCTATACACTCAGAAGTATGTACATTTTCTTCACAAAAAAGAGTGTGCAGTATAACCATGTAAATTGGGGCCCAGCAAGAGATAATTAAAGGGGTAGTTAACACAAAAAAGGTATACAAGGAAATACAGTGGTGTCCGGTGTGGTTATGGACCCCACTGACTTGGAAAAATACAGTTGAAATGTTCTTCTAAACATCTTCTTTTGTGTTCCACAGTAGACAGTCATACAAGTTTAGAACGGCATGAGGCTGAGTAAATTATGACATAATCTTTTTATCTGATGGTGAGCTATCCCTTTAAACCAAACATTCAGTCAGTGAGTGTCGGATTTGGTGATAATGAAAAGGACACACACATCATGCCTGCCGCGTCTCAGATATACTCGCATAAATTCACACACCACAGACTTTCTATATGCATGCTTAAGGTAAAGAAACACAAACACAAACATATGTATAGATGTACCCACACAGGTCCTATTACCACCCACTTCCTCTATACACACTCTATCACTTTTCCTTGTTCTTTCGCTACCTCTCTCATGCGCCTGACTTCTCAGGTTTTGGTGAATCAGACCTGGTGAATAATGTATAAGGTACAAGCTGTGAAAACCTGGACAGCACTGAAGGCAGCAGCAGTGACTAAATGAAAGTTTAGTGCATTTAGACAGACGGTATTCACTAGTGCTGTGCCTTATCCATCCACAGACAGTGGTATCTTCATCAGCTCTGCTTTGTTTAAAGGGGCCTGTCAAAAAAACAACAACATTTAAATAGTGAAATGGATTGCTCAGTGCCTGTTTGGAGAAATTATGCCATTAAGGGCAACAGAAGGAAACTGCTAGGGGAAAAAATAGAGTTTTACAAATTTGCCGACATTTTCAATGTGACTAGTTAGCAGGGTGGGAGAAAGAAAAAAATGGTAAAACATTATGATTAATTTCACATTAGGACAATGGAGGGGTTGGCATGAGCACTTCACAGTTAAAAGCTCTCCTAGAGGTCTGCCACAAAACCAGCATTACTTTTAGTGGTTTAGTGGTTGGAGATTTGATTCATCCCAATGACTTGAATGTTTTAAATCTGTTTACTAAAAAGTACGTGGCGACAAAGTCTTTGTGAGTAAATATTTTTTTGTTCAAAAACACTGAGTTGACAATCTTACTAGCCTTTGCTAAACTTTGTCTAAGAGACTGTATAAAGAATGTTTAAGTATAATTTTATACACCTTCATTATTCTTTCACCCCTTTCATTCATTGTTGTGAACGAGATTGACTCACATGCTGAAATGAATGAAGTGCATGCAGGAGATGCTCATAATGAGAGGTTTTGTTCATTCAGTTTGTTCACAAATAAAATTCATGCAGTTTGTTTAGACTCAAATATCATCTGTGTCTGAAATCGCACCTATTTGTAGAGTTGTCTGAAACCATAGTGGACATTTCTGAGTACACTCATTCAATCCCATAACGAGTGTACAACCGATGTACACTCAGCGGCTAGCCACAAGAGAAAGTGATGCACCTTGAGCATCACGCTGAATTAATTTCTGCATCTCACCAAAAGATGGTGTTCACATCCCTTCCGGTGCACTCAGACTCCAAATTCGCTCAAACTTTTTCATTCACTGTGGTCTGTATTAGTGGGGTAATGTAGGGAATAGTGAATGAGAGTATAGGAGCCGATTTCAGATACAGCTATTGACTTGCTACATGCACTTGAAGGCTATTGGTTTGTGCTATAGTCTTTGAAAGTAGGTGTCACGTGATAAAGGTTCGTTGACGACGATATTTAGTCATAATTTTCGTTGACGAAAGCAACACTAATTACAGGTACATTGTGTGTTGCAGCAAATTGTAAGGGATTTTTCATTAAAGCTGCAGTCCGTAAGTTTTGCCTCTTTGTCGCCATCTCTGTTTGAAAACCTGGAATTGCAGCTGTGTGCGGAATTATCTAGCTTGCCTGTGTTGTGAGTCGGCATGGCTCCAGCGCGGATTAATCTATTAAAATACAAATCTTTGTAATCCCAGGCTATCTGTAATCAGAAGCACATTTATAACTGGAATATAATTTAATTTCACATAATTTCACAATTCACATCTGTTTCATAAACACATATTAGTTTTGAACACTGGCTGGTTATGTACTTGCTCAAATATTGATTTCGGATCATTTTGAACCAAAAAAAGTTACGGACTGCAGCTTTAAACAAATAAGTGAGTGTATTAGAACAGGGGTTTTCAAACCTGTCCTGGAGGACCCCCAACACTGCACATTTTGTATGTCTCCCTTATCAGACACACCCAATTCAGGTCTTGCAGTCTATGCTAATGAGATGATGAGTTGAATCAGGTGTGTAGATGAAGGAGACATATAAAATGTGCAGGGCTGGGGGTCCTCCAGGACAGGGTTCAAAACCCCTGTATTAGAAAACATTTTGATTAAGCAGACAAAATCCGAAGATCCGAAGTTTACCATAGGCTGTCCTACCAGCCTGTCAACGTATGTATGTGCATACCTCTGCACACACTGTTCACACAGACACGATACTTCATCAGTGTGTTCCATTACGCTATTGCTGACTGAGCGAGAATGGAAGGCGTTATTATTGTAATGTTATGCGCTTTGTACTGTAATGTTTTCTCACCAGTGAATGAGACATGATGAGGTTATCTGACAGTGTTGCATTCAACCCTCAACCAACACCGTCTCTCATCGTGTCACTGATTAGGCTCTGGTCTGCTGTGCGCATTCATGTGTTTTGGAGGAGGCGTGGCTTTGCAGAGTGATTATGCAGAGAGGGTGGGATCTTGCTTTCAAAGCTAGCTTGCTATTGCTAGCCTTTCCTAAATCGCATACCCTACCTTTGAATAAAGTTTTACTTAGTATGTGGGGTATTTGTTAATGACAAATTTTTTTAAATGTTTTTGTTATTATTATTTCTTTTTTAATTTTTCATTGTGAGAGTTTAAAACTCCAATAAATAAAGTATTAAAAAAAGTTTAACTAAATTTTTTAAAAATCATTACAAAAAAATAAAATAATAATA